AAGACCGTTTTTGGGTGAACTATCATTTTAAAGGATACTGCTGATGATGCTGCCGAAGGTCCAGACGCAGACGCTCAGCCGCGTCCAGAACATGGTTTTGCTGTGGATGTGTGGCTGCATGCGGTGCGACAGCAGCGTCTGGACCAGGATGTACAGAGCGCCCACGCCGAACGTCAGCATGGCGCCCACCAGATGCATCGCGAACAGAGTGGTTTTCTGGGAAAGACACGGCACACACTTAATGTTCGGAGTGAAGATTCGGTGCAATAAACTTTTAAATTGGAATGAATGGCTGTAAATCGGTCTGTTTAGACCGACCGACAAAAATATTCGCATGCGACAATGCAACTTTTTTGCACACTGGTGAAGCGAAAAATCAAATGCAAATGACTTTTTATGCAAATCCAGTGCAAAAAACATTTTATTCACATGCCAACAATGCAAATATTGTTTGTGCCTTGGTCTGAACAGACAAATCGAATGAAAAAATTAGACTAAACTTTCATGCCAACATTTAATGCGAAAATTCTGTGCGATAAACAGTTAAACGAAGAATTATAATGGTGAAGAATATTCGCATGCCACCAATGCGACGTTTTTTTGCACACTGGTCTGAACGGATAAATTGAATGTGAAAATTGGACCAAATCTTAATGCGAAAAGTCACTGAAATAAACATTTTCATTTGAACGAATTTGTAAAGACTGCATTGTCGCATTGATGGGGTATGAATGTTTGTCAGTGTTTTTTTGTTTCGCATTGGTCCAAACAGAGAAATTGAATGTGAAAATCAGACTAAATCGTGTGAATATTTGGTGCATAAACATTTTAATTTGAACGGACTGCTGTCGAGTCTGTTCAGACCAACACGAATATTCACATGCCAACAATGCAACTGTTTTTACGCATTGGTATGAATAGACAAATCGAATGAGAAAATTGGACTGAAACTTTTTGATTTGATTGAACACCTGAAAATCTGTCTGTTTAGACCAACGCAAATATTTGCATGCCATCAATGCAACCTTTTTCACATTGGTCCGAACCGACAAATCACATGCAAAAATCGGACAGAATTTTCATGCAAATTTTTTGTGCATTGGTCCAAACAGACAAATCACATGCAAAAATCGTTCCACAATACCACAACTTCATGCAAAACTTTATGCACAAACATGCAAACATTTGTGGGACTCTTAATTGCAATAATCATTTTAATTCGAATGAACAGGTGCTGCGTTTGTTCAGACCAATGCGAACATTCCCATGCTGACAATGCAACAGATTTTTTAAGCTCTCTTAATTTTTTTTCATCACGCTGCAAAGAAAATGGGCTGAACCAATAAGATATGTGCTTTTTGGTCATGTGCTCTTTTATTTGGTGTTGTTTGATAAAGAACATAGCAAATAAAACATCATAATAAAAACATTGAAAACATGTTTTTGCAGTTTTTTTACCCGAACATAATGTGAACATCAGAGCAAATTTTCATGCCGAACATTCGTTTTGGGAACAGGCAAACATTTGGTGCAAGAATTCGGTACAAATTTTTTTTTATTTGAACTAACGTCTGTTAATGCGTCAACAAAAACATTTGCATGCATCAATTTGACAGATTGCAAATCGACAAATCGGACCTAATTTTCATTCCGAACACACGTTTCAGTGTGAACAGGTTTTTACGCTCAGTGTACGTACCTGGAAGTTTGCGACGACGCACATGCCGAACGAACTTCCGCAGCCCAGAACGAACCCCATCAGATTGAGGCAGTTCAGACGAGTGTCGTTCACGTCCCCGAGCGCACGAAGCTGCTTATAGCGCACGTACATAGTAGCGACACCTGCAGAAGACACGCAGCATTACATCACTGAAACGGGGTTAAAGGCCACACCCAACCACTTCATAACATTGTGTCTCGATGCAACACACCCCTTTCCCGTACTGTTCGCATGTTAGCATTAGCATACAGTCAAACCAAATGTTATTTTTTTTAATGGTTTAGTTTCGTAATCATATTTTCGTGTCAGTGTAAAGCTAGGGGTCATAATTAAGGTCAGTGTGAGGTCAGAAGTCATTCAGTACCTAAAAATGCAGACACATTCAGCATGAGTCCAAACACGCATCTCTCCGGCGCGACCGTCCCCGTGTCACTGTAAGAGCAAAACGAAGGTCACTCAGAGGTCAGAGGTCACGCCGTCACATGATGACACCGGTCTGTGCTCACCTGATGTAGGGCAGCAGCGGGTCCACGTGTCTCAGGATGACGGCCGTGATGTAAGCGAAGATGAAGGTGGCGGCGGTCCAGATGACCAGCGCCACGGGCAAGACGCACAAACCCTCCTGAAACCACCACATGCCTAAAACACGCCTAAAACATGCCAGATATTACCAGTCAGCCGCGCTTCCTCTTCTCAGAGCATCATGGGTGAGTTTCTGCTTTTCACTTCTGCTGTGAAAGCGTAACCTTCACAAAATGTTAATAAAACCATTAGCACACTGAAACTAGAGAAAAGAGTCAAATAAATAAGCACCAGGGTTTTCAGCTTGATAAAACCATTAGATATGGACGTTCTCAGAACATTCTGGTATGTTCTCTCAATGTTATGAGCACATTCTTCTAGTAACATTATCTGGGGCCTGTTCCATAAAACAAGTTTACACAAATAAGCCAGGCT